ACGTAAGCATTACCGTCCCAGTCCGCCTCCCACAGAAGCGCACTGCCCTCGAGAGGTGGCAGCTGCGGCTGCTGGGAAGAGAATGCTCAGAAGAATAGCGACAGGAACACCCTCCAGTCTGACTTCTCCCTCCTTGGAGAATTTAGTGGCTCTGGGGTCCACACAGTGCAGTGGGGCCCAGACTCCTCCTGCCTCGATGCCCCCCGTTCCCCGACGTGAGACTCGGGATCCCAGATGGCTGCTCAGTCAGCGGGAGTGGGGAGCGGGGAGGAAAGGGAGCACTGGACAGTCTCTTTGCTTTCATTGGTGGTGGTGGCAGGGGCGGGGAGGGCTAGTATCTGTCCTGGTATACGTGGAGGAATGTGACCAGGCTAGTCCTCCATCCTCCTGATGCTAGGACTTGCGGTCCGGGAGACGGGAGAAGGCATTCCAGAGTGAAGGAAGGTAAGCCTGAGTGCTGACCCTTTCGTGGCCAGGAGGAGCTGGCCGGTTCGGCTGGAAGGCTCTTGCTGAGGATGGTGGGGAGTGAGGCTGGCTGAGGAGACCGGAGGATCGTGTGCTCTGATCCTGAGCCTGGAGGAGGAACTCGTTTTCCTCTCAGTATGAAGCATTCATGGAGATTTTGACTAAGAGGGTGTTGTGGATGAAACAAAAGTCACGCTATGATGTGGAGGTGAGGCAGTTGGCCTGGGCGTGGCAATCATCCTGGCACCTTGTGCAGAAGCCATATTGCACCTAGATCACCAACTCATGTCCAGCTGAAGAGAAAAGAGCACAGGTTTTGAGATGAACTCAACTTGGCTTGACCACCTTGTCCCTTTGGGACCTAGGCCAAGCCACTCCCCACCCGGAATTCAATGTCTGAGGCAGAGACGGTAAAGTGTCCCCCCAAATCCAGTCTCCCCATCTTATACCGCAAAGATATTGTGCCAGGACTTGAGGCCACCCTACCTAAGGCTCCTTTGTCAGCCTCCCTTGCAGCGAGGTGCAGCCGGGAGCCTGCACTGTGGGTAATGGGATGGGAGGCGTAATGGGGTGCCACTTCCTGGACCTGCAACTAGACACGTGAATGGTTAGCAGATGTGTGAGCCAGGGAACGGGTGGCTTAGAGTCTGGTGGGGATTTTATCGAGCACCTACGACATGCCAGTGTCTTTCTGGGTTACTGGGGGTGCGGCAGTGAGCACAGGGACTGAAGGGCCGCCCTCAAGAACTGAGAGTCTAGGGCAGCGGTTCTCAACCTTCCTCAGGCTGCGGCCCTTTCATACAGTTCCTCATGTGGTGGTGACCCCCCAACCATAAAATTATTTTCGTTGCTACTTCACAACTGTAATTTTGCTACTGTTATGAATATGCAGGATGCACTTTCGTTGTTATACATTGAACATCATGAAAGCATAGCGAGTCATCACAAAAACAATATGTAATTATATATTGTGAAATATTTCTTTCTAATGACCAATCAATGACATTTTCTCTTGAAGCATGGTGTAGCATGGGTAACAGTCTTCACGCCGGGTACTCATACGTGGGCGTATCTGCAAGTGGGCGGACCCGCCTGGAAGCGGATAGAGGAGAGGTGTCTCAGCTCCTAAGACCATCGGAAATATGTGTTTTCTGATGGTCTTAGTCAACTGCTGTGAAAGGGTCCTTTGACCCCCAAAGGGGTCGCGACCCACGGGTTGAGAAGCGCTGGTCTAAGGGGAGAAGCAGAAGGAGATGGTTTCGGGAGTCTGCAGGCAGGGAGCAGGAGGACCACACAGCAGGCTGAGGGCTGAACGGGCGGACAGGAGCCTGGACGGGGCGGTCAGGCAGACCTCTCAGAGCAGTGAGGGGGCGGACAAGTCACGGGTTTCTGGAGGGAAGAGTTGGTCCTGAGGTGCGGTGGTAGGCAGGGGTGGACGGAGGGTGTGAATGAGGCTGGTGACTCCCTGATGCCCATCTCTGCAGACCCAGCGGAACTGAGCGGTGGGGAGACCGAGGAGCTGCAGCGGATCAAGTGGCACCGGAAGAAGCTTCTGGAGGACATCCAGGTGCGGGAGCACACACGCGCACACACACACGCTCATGCACTTTCTCGTGGACGCTCATGGGCACATACCCCATGCACACACACACTCACACACTCATGCTCACACCCATACACATGCTTACATCCACACGCACACGCTCGTGCACTTCCTCGTGGACGCTCACGGGCACATACCCCGTGCACACACACACTCACACACTCATGCTCACACCCTTACACATGCTTACATCCACACGCACACGCTCATGCACTTCCTCGTGGACGCTCACGGGCACATACCCCGTGCACACACACACTCACACACTCATGCTCACACCCTTACACA